TGGTCCCTCTGAGGACCCCTGACTGCTCCCCACCCCCACCAGGGACCAGAATCCCTCGAAGTGGACGGTCCAGTTTGGTGTGCTGACTTCCAAGCCATCGTTATGGAACATATGGGCCTACTTCCATCGTTACAGGGTGCGGGATATTATTGTAAACCCTTACTTCAAGGTGTCTTCAGTCAACGACATTGCCCTGCTGAGGCTGGCCACCTCCGTCACCTATAATAAGCACATTCAGCCCATCTGTGTCCTGACCTCCTCCTCCGAGTTCAAGAACCGGAATGACTGCTGGGTGACTGGCTGGGGGTACATCAGAGAGAAGAAGAGTGAGGCTGGGGACAGACGGGTGGGGAAGGGGAACATTTTCCTTCATCCCTTGTCCCAGCCATACCAGCTGCAGCTACCCCCACCTTGCTGTGGGCACCTCTGCACCCCGTCTTCAGCCTTCTCCTCTCACCTGCTTTCCACTCATTCCCCCCTTAAAGAATAGGGCTGTCTGGACCCACACTCAGCACCCACACCCTTCTGGAGACTGTGAGCCAGTAGCAGAGTTGAGAGGGAGGCCAGCTGACCCAGGCCTGCACCCCCAGCCTGCAGGGGTATGCGAGTTTGGGGGGTGGACCTGTCCAAAAGGCATCAGGCATCGTTTTTTAAATTGAGATATAACTCCCAAACCATAAAATTCATCCTTTTAAAGCATGCAATTTGGTGTTTTTTTTAAGAAGTAGGCTCACAGAGTAAGTAGTACAACCATTACCATTATCTAATTACAGAAGCTTTTCATCATTTCAAAATGAAATCCCATGCTTCCTAGCCATTACTCCCAACTCCCCGGTGTCCTAGGGTCGTAACCCCTGGCAACCACTAACCTACTCTCTGTCTCTATGGATTTACCTACTCTGGACACTTCATATAAATGCAACCATACAATATGCGGTCTTTGGTGCCTAGCTTCTCTCCCTCAGCACATCTTCCAGTTTCATTCCTGTTTTAGCATTTGTCTGTAGTTTGTTCCTTTTTGTTTTTAGGTTTAATTCCTGTAACATTAAATGAATCATTTTGAAGTATATAATTCAACGGCATTTAGTACATTCACAATGTATAACCATCAATTCTGTCAACTTCCAAAACATTCTCATCACTCACAGTAGAAATCCCATAACCAATAAGCAGTCACTTCCCATTACCCTCTCCCTCTAGCCCTTAACAACCACCAAGCAGCTTTTTGTCTCTGTGGATACCTCTTCGGGATATTTCATGTAATGGAGTCGTACACTATGTCCCCTTTTGGGTTTGGCTTCTTGTCACTTAGCATAATGTTTTCAAGATTTATCCATGTTATAGTATGTATCAAAACTTTATTCCTTTTCATGGCTGGATAATAGTCCGTGGTGTGGTTGGACCACAGTTTGTTTCTCCATTTATCCATCGATGTCATTTGTGTTGTTTCTATTTTGGGTATTGTGAAAAGAGCTCCCACGAGCATTACTATCCACATTTTGGCTTGAATACCTCTTTTCAGTTCTTTTGTTTATATAGGAGGGCAATCCTGGATCACATGGTAATTCTATGTTTAACTTTTTGAGGAGCCGACAAACAATGTTCCACAGCAGCTGCTCCATTTTACATTCCTATCAACAACAAGGGTTACAATTTCTGTCTGTTCTCCTCAACATTTGCTATTTCCCAGTTTTTTTACTTTGGCCACCCTAGTGGGTGTGAAGTGGTATCTCGCTGTGGTTTTGATTTGCATTTCTCTAATGACTAGTGATGTTGAGCATCATTTCATGTGCTTGTTGGCCATTTGTACATCTTTCTTGGAGAAATGCCTATTTAAGTCCTTTACCCATTTTTATCTTGAGTCGTCTTTGTTGTTGAGTTGTAATAATTCTTTATATATTCTGGATACTAGACCCTTTTGAGATATATGATTTGCAAATATTTTCTTCTATTCTGTGGGCTTCTTCCTTCCTTCCTTCCTTCCTTTCCTTCTTTTCTTTCCTTTTCTTTCTCTCCTTCTTTCTCTCTTTCTCTCTTTCTCTCTTGCTCTCTCTCTTTCTCTCTCTCTCCCTTTCTCTCTCTCTTTCTCTCTCTTTCTTTCTTCCTTTCTTCTTCCTTCCTTCCTTTCTTTCTCTCTCTCTCTTCCTTTCTCTTTCTTTCTTCTTTCTTCCTTCCTTCCTTCCTTCCTTCCTTTTTCACTGGATCTCACCCCATGGATTTAATTAGTCCAGGATGTGGCATGTACATTGGAGTATTTTAAAGCTTCCCAGGTGATTCTAATTTGTAGCTCAAAGTAAGACCAGCTGGTCTAAATGGGGTTCATGATGGGTAGAGAGCCAACTGATGCCATGAAGGAGATGATAATCTCCAGGAAAAGGACAAAGAGCTACAAGTTTCAAAGTTGAAATAAAGACCTAGCAGAAGTTCTGTGGAATAGGTAGGCTTTGGTGTCAAAAAGTTGTGCGTTTTGAATGCTCTTACTTAACTCTTCAGTTTCCTCTAAATAGAGATCATAGCTCCTTTCTCTCAAGGTTGCTCCACGTTGTCAGTCCCTGGGGAAGAGCACTTCAGATGCAGGACTGAGCCAAGGCTCATGGACCACATCTGTTTTCACTTTCATGAGAGTGTCTGTTGATGTACACAATATTTTAATTTTGATGAAGTTCAGATTATTTTTGTTGTTGCTGCTTTTGATGTCATATTTAAGAAACCATTACCAAATTCAAGGTCATGAAGATTTACCCTCATGTTTTCTTAAAGAGTTTTATGATTTTAGCTCTTATATGTATGTTTTTGATCCATCTTGAGTTGATCTTTGTTTATGGTGTGAGGTAGGGGTCCAACTTCATTTTGTACATTTGGATATATAGTTATCCCAACACCATTTGTTGAAGAGACTGTTATCTTCTCCATTGGATTGTCTTGGCACCCTTGTCAAAAATCAATTGCCCAAGGAAGAATGGGTTTATGTTCTAGAATCACAATTCTGTTCCATTGGTCTGTATGTTTATCCTTATGCCAGGAACTCATTTTTGATTCCTGTAGCTTCAAAGTGTGTTTTGAAATCGGGAAGTGTGGGTCCTCCAACTTTGTTCTACTTTTTCAAATACTGCTTTTTTATTTGGGATCTCTTGATATTCTGTAAAGATTTTAGTATCAGCTTGTCAATTTCTGCTAAAAAGGCTGTTGGAATTTAGATAGGGATGGCATTGACTGTAGATTGCTTGAGAGAGTATTGTCATCTAAATAATATTAAGTCTTCAATCCATAAACATGGAATATGCTTCCATTTATTTAGGTCTTCTTTAATTTCTTTCAGCAATATTTTGTAGTTTTCTGTGTACAGGTCTTTCATCTCCTAATTATATCTTTTTTTTAATTGAAGTATATTCAGTTGACAATGTTGTGTCAATTTTTGGTGTACAACATAATGTTTCAGTCATACATATACACACGTATATTCCTTGTTGTATTCTTTTTCATTATAGGTTATTCTTTTTTCCTATGTTCTTTTTCATTATATTAGTATTCCTATATTAATACTTTTTTATTATAGTTTATATAAGATATTGAATATAGTTCCCTGTGTTATACAGTAGAAACTTCTTGTTTATCTATTTTATATATACTAGTTATGATGAAAGAGTATTGGATTTTGTCAGATGCTTTTCCTGCACCAGTGAGGATGACCATGTGGTTTTCTTCCTTCATTCTGTTAATGTAGTATGTAGTAATGTTATATTAAATGATTTTCATATGTTGAACCCCCCTTGCACTCATCCAATAAACCTCACTCAGTCAGGGTGTAGAACTCTTTTAATGTGCTGCTGGATTCAATTTGCTAGTATTTTGTTTAGGATTTTTGCATATGTATTCATAAAGGATGTTGGACTGTAGTTTCATTTTTTGTGTGATGTCCTTGTCTGGGCTTTGATGTCACAGTGATGCCAGCCAGATGGAATGAGTTAGGAAGTATTCCTTCCTCTTCTGTTTTTGGAAAGAGTTCAAGAAGGATTGGTGGTACTTTCTTCTTATGTTTGATAGAATTCACCACTTAAAGCCATCTAGCCCAAGGCTTTTCTTCATTGGGAGATTTCTTATTACTGATTCAATCTCTCTACTTATGTGTCTGTTCAGATTTTCTGTTTCTACTTGAGTCTATTTTGGTATTTTATGTGTTTCTAGGAATTTGTCCATTTCCTCTAGGTTGTCTGATTTGTTGGCATATAATTGTTCATAGTACTCACTTATAGTCCTTAATTTTTCTATAAAGTTACTAATAATTTCCCCACTTTCCTTGTCAATTTTGTTGATCTTTCAAAGAGCCAGCTTTTGCTTTTGTTGATTTTCTCTATTATTTTTCTGTTCTCTAGTTTGATTTTTTCCCCATTCCTCTCTTTATTATTTCCTTCCTTACTCTACCTTTGGGGTTAGTTTGCTCTTCTTTTTTAGTTCCCTAAGTTAGATGACTGATTTGAGATTTTTCTTCTGTATTAACATAGGCATTTCCAGCTATAAATTTCCTTGTGAGGATTGCTTTTGCTGCATCCCATAAGTTTTAGAATGGTATGTTTTTATTTCCATTCATCTCAAAATACTTCCCAGTTTTCCTTGTGATTTCTTCTTTGATCCATTGGTTAAGAGTATGTTCTTTCATTTCCAAATATTTGTGAATTTTTCAGTTTTCCTTCTGTTACTGATTTCTAACATCAGTCCACTGTTTTCTATGATGTCAGTCTTGTCTAATTTATTGCAGCTTATTTTGTGGCCCGATATATCATCTACCTTGGAGAATGTCTCACATCCACTTGAGAGGAATGTGTATTCTGCTCTTGTTTAGGTGGATTGTTCTGTATATGTCTGTTAGATCTAATTGATGTACAGTGTTGTTCAAGTCCTCTGTTTTCTTACTGATCTTCTCTCTGGTTGTTCTGTTATTAAAAGTGGGTTATTGAAGTCTCCAACTGTTATTGTAGAACTATTTCTCCCACCAGTTACATCAATTTTGCTTCATATATATTGGGGCTTGGTTGTTAGATTTGTAGATATTTATCATTATTATATCTTCTTGATGACTTGACACTGATCAATGTGTAATGTCCTTCTTTGACTCCTGTAACATATTTTGACTGAAAATCTATTTTGTCTGACATTTGTATAGCAAACTCAGCTCTTTTTTGGTTACTATT